AACGCTTTAAGAGAAAAACTTAAGTTTAAGGTTAATGTTAAGACTAATTTTTTTCTGGCAACGGGCCCCAGGAATCATGTCAAGCGCGAGAAGTGTCGTTTGGGGACACTGGTACTTACTGTAGGAAGTCTGTGGAAAGATGGCGTTGGCGTAGTCGATGGAACCCTGTAGCACTCGCGTGTACGCCTCCTGCGAGAACAGACAAAACCGCCATTACTAACGAAAAATAACTGGCACCGTCGAGGCTTATCAGAAATTTTATTGTTTTTACTGCTCAACACTATTGCATCTGTCAGATTTTTCCCTCGTGAAAAAGTCTGTCTTCAGTACATGTATTTGTATTTAAATTACAAGTATTTAATAATAATAATAATGACGATGATGATAATAATAATAATAATAATAATAATAATAATAATAATAATAATTAGGCAGCGCAAAGTCTGCTGGAACTAGCGGTAAAAGTAGGAACTAGACATCCTTGCTAACTCGACATCAACTATTTTCGCCGCCTCCTGAAAACTGGTCGCTTGGAGTCTCCTCCGTAGGGCTGACCCAGGCTTCTTCTGCCGACATGTCACTGCCTCTATTAGAATCGCTACACTCGCTATGATCAGACTGCCATCCAAAGCACTGAAATTCGGTACTGATAGTTGCCCTAAAAGTGGGCTGCACAGCCACAAGAGGCAAGCACGGGGATACGCTATTGAGCATTAGGCGAGGGCGGCATTGCCTGATATCAGGAGTGTCGTAATGTAGATTATGACACTCTATGTGACAATAATCTATATTATGCCACTCCTGTTGGTGTAGCAGCGCAATCTCATCACAGAGATCACGTGACTATCGGCTCTTGATTTGCGTTAAATTGCGCTGCCACAACAAACAAGAGAACAATTTTCATCTCTGTGGTGAGATTGTGTAGCAGCGATGACGCGCTTGATCGTTCACCTTCTGGAAGTCTGTTGGTTCGCCGTAGTGCATGGTGCGCGTCACGTCCGTTGTGCAGTCCCTGAAACACAGACGACGCAATGTCACACGGTGTTTCAACGTGATGACATGATGTGATGTCACACAATGTTTCAACGATGACACAATGTTTCAATGATGACACAATGTTTCAATGATGACACAATGTTTCAACTGTCTTCCTCCGCCGTCACCTCTCCAGGTTGGACCGTCCGCTAGCTTAATCATATTATACTATATATTAATAGTATATATATAATATAAATATATCGGATAGATTCAGATAGATTTGAGATAGAGTTAGATAGATCAGGTGGTTTGCGATACATCCTTTCTCTCGTTTCGGGTCTTCCTCTATTACTAACCATTTCCATTGGCAGATTTTCCATTTAGACCATTCTTTTTCACTGGATCAACGGAGTTTCACTAACGGCTGCTATCCTGCCATAGTTTCACTTGCATGCATGATACTAACGTTCTGCTTTCATTGAAAAAAAAAGTAAGCACAACATAAACTTTCTTCTCCTCTATCCGCGTTGCCCCTCTCGCGCTATTTCTCTGTCCGCTGCGTGCTCTCCTCTCTTTGTCTCGCTCTCTTTATGTCTCTCAGTCTTTTCCTCGTCATCTTTTCTCATTCTGCGTCTCGTACGAGCTCA